TGGGGATGGGGAATAGGGTGGGGAAGGAAGAGTTTTGGAAAATGTTTTCCCTTCTCTTGATAGTTGAAGGAAAATGTTTTCCAAAACATAAGCCAACCAAACATGGGAAAATTGAAAAACATTTTCTTCGTACCAAACACACCATTGGTTTACAAATAAGAGAAGCCCAAGGTAAAGGTTTTAAGGTTAGAAGTTAGAACCAGGAATTCAAAATCTTTTACAATAGACCCTTGTGGTCTGGCCCTTCCCGGACCCCGCGCATAGCGGGAGCTTAGTGTACCGGGCTACCTTTTTTTACATGGAAATAAATTTGGATTATCCAAGTTCCAGAACCTTCTATTAGTTAACTGGTGAAAACGAAATCGGAAAGAACATCAAGCAAATTGAGCAACTATCTAGTCACTCTTACATTTGCACTAGTAGAAATGCCTGTCACTAGTAGAAATGCCTGAAAATTACATTTGCACTAGTAGAGATGCATGTATCACCATCAATAGCTTCCTTAACAGTTTGAAGGTTCCATGTTCTATCTCGTAAGAGTAACTTTCTCCTGCCTCCTTTTACTGTCTGTTTCTTTCTTTTTTCTGCCTCGGTTGTGAAATCCCTTTGAGTGATTGGTTCCTATGTTGCTTGGACTTTCCAAAATGCTGCCGCACCCGTGTCGGATCCTCCAAAAATACACTAGCTCTTACACCTGGTGAAATTTTCGAAGAGTCCGAGCAACATAGCTTGGTTCTCCTTCTGAGTCTAATTCTGTGATCTTCTGACACTATCTTCACCTTCCCTTTATGATCCACATGCATCCCATTTTCTAAGGCTGTATATGTACAGATTGGTCCTTATTTTGAAGGAACAAAAGATAGAATTAATTGGGGAATTCCATCATTTTCCGTCATATATTTTCCTGCCAAGTTTTGGTGCAAACAGGGAAAAGATGACCAAATATTGATACATGCATGTAAACAATTCACAATGTGGAAATGCTGCACACAAGGGCACGAATAGAAGGTTTATCTGATAGGACAAAATTCATTCTTCTTGGGATGAACATCCGCCTTTCATCTTTTTCCTTCTCTCAGTTACTCATCATGCTATCACCTAGATCCTAAGAAGTTGAAAACAGCAACGGCCTAAAATGCATGGCATAACTCTTTGTTAGTTTCTTGGAAGTACTATTCTTAATATCACCGATTTATGTACTCATTTTGATGAAGAGCTTGAGATGGACTCCCCAAAGAGCAGTGAGGCTGGAATTAATGGAAGGATGATGCCACCACAGGAGGCATGCAGTCGAATTGCTGAAGTGGTACAAGAAGCAGTGCAGAAAATGGAAATAGTAGCCGACGAAAAAATGAGGATGCTAAAGAGAGCTCGCCAAGCTCTCGAGACATGTGATCATGAACTGGAGGAAAAAGCTAAGGAAGTTGCAGAACTGAAGCTGGAGAGGCAGCGAAAAAGGCAACAGATAGACGAATTAGAGAGCGTTGTTAGGCTTAAAGAAGCAGAAGCAGATATGTTCCAGCTTAAGGCCGATGAAGCAAGACGAGAAGCTGACAGATTACAGAGGATTGCTCTTGCAAAATCAGCGAAATCAGAAGAAGACTATGCTAGCAGTTACCTTAAACAACGTCTTAGTGAGGCTGAAGCTGAGAGGCAATTCCTTTTCGAGAAGATTAAACTTCAAGATCAAGGTTCTCGTTCATCACAAAGCAATGACATGGGCGATCCTCCGCAAGCACTTTACACTAAAATACATGAGATCCTAAAGAGCGTGTAGCTCCGCCTCCCAGTAAATCCAGACGACCAGCCTAATGAACATCTTTGTAAGTGACCTGATCATTATTCATGTTTTGTGTGCTTTTCTTGCAGTAACTTAATATAGTGTTGCAGAGCAAACTGTAAATTAAATTCCTGTGTCATTTTAACTTAAACTCTTTAAATAAGACGTTGGCAGGACGAATGCCCTAGCTAAAACCTTGTATAATTGATTGGTTTGCTTTTATTGATGGAGTTAATTTGTGAAATCGACTAAAAGATACCACTATATAATTGATCAACTGGCTGTTGCCAGAAAGAATACAATATCAACTCAAGATTGAATGAAACACTAAATTACTAGTATGGATCAATATGGAGGTTTTCTAACTAAATAAAACTGTACATTTTTTTCTTCATTCTGTTGCAGCAAAGTTGCCACAACAAAATCATGTTTTTCATTTCCAAGATTTCAATAGAACTTACTTGAGTTGGTATATTCAAGCACAGATGTCCAATGCGACAGGTAACTGGTCAAAAGGACCATAATTCAAAATTTGAATTACAGTGTCACGAGTTTGACCTCTCTGCTCTTAGAGTCCAGAACCAAAGTGTGATTCTTTTGGACACAAGAGACCGAAATAGGTGAAAGAAAATTGGTAACCTTTCTATATATAACGCCCTTTTAAAGGGCGCTATACTTTAACGTCAGTTTTGTCCGTT